GCTTGACGGTGAGGTGATTTTTAAGGAATGGTCCATCCGAACGCTAAAATCGTACTAAAGTGTGACCAGGTCTATTTTATATTGTATTAACTACCTTTAAACTGAAAATTGATTGAACCAAATTCAAAGCTTGGCAAATTCACTACAAACATTTGGGAGATTAAGAGTTAAGCAACGATGATAGCCTATAACTTGACAAAAGTTTCAGACAATAGAATAATTGCTTGGCAAACGAGACGAACATGCTGGCAAGGAAAGATTTACAGTAGTATTCTACTCTATTTTTTATGCAGGAAATAACGTATATCCTAAATTGTTTTACAATTTGTTGTGGAAAAGATTTAGATAGCTGTCATAACAGATGTGTTGATTTTCCGGTAATTTTCATTGTTAGAATTACCTACATCGTCTGTGCTTCGGAACGACGTACACGACTGATTCATTATCACTCAAAGGCTCCTACAATAGATATCTGTGGATAGGGAAATAGATTTATGACCCATATTTCTGTGTTCACTGTTGTACAGCGTTCATCGGAATTAGCCCCTAAAACATCGAAAACGAAAGTTAAACGGTTTACGTCGAGTTCACCCGAGGTAATATTTCAACTTATTTTTCATCATAACTTAATCGATTTTTCCAAACTTAACAATTTGTGAAGCTAAATATGTCTGTTTTAGAGCAGTATTTGCTTTTTTCCGCAAATTGAATACTTTTTGTTAAATTGGCGATATATTTTTTGTATTTATTTTAACATTGTTTTGCTTCCTATTGCAATAATCGGTAAACCAGCAACGCTTTGATATGAAAACACGTGTCTAATTTATATTTCTTGCTATTAGAGAATACTGCATCTAGTCCTTTAAGTACTACATTTTGATGTTTACCTGCACATGTTTATTGAGTGTTTCATGAAAGCAATAGATAATTCATCTGCTATAAAAAAATAATTTGATACTGTAATACCGTAATAGAATCCATGCCATCGATGGAAAAACAAAATAGCAAAAATAAATATAAGTAAATAAATAGTTATTTAAGAAAGCAATATTATAAGAATATGATATGATAGGTTATTATAACATTGTATTACTGTCGAAATAAACTGTATTGTTGTTTTAAATTGATACTGATCGGAAACGTAGGTATGGTTGTTTGCCTCGATTGATTTAAGTTATCTTAAGGCCTCAACAGACGGTAGGATTTTGAAGTACAACACCAATTAAAACTAAGATATACAGACAAATCTTAATGTGTGAAGGCTACTATTTCTTAATTTCGGAAACCTTGTCTAGATGTAAGGGATAGGACATGCTCTATTTTGAAAATCTTGTCGTACCGATTTTTTTCAGACCTCCCACAATGACAAGTAACAGATAACCAAATTATCTCATGATAATGGGTGTAATGAATGAAATTCCAGAACAATTAGGGCTAAAAGGTAAACATAGTAGTAAGATAGGGTAAAAATGATGTTGAAAAACTCTTCAGGAGACCCAAAGTTGTGTTATGTTCGAATCCCAAATTATTCCGAAAATGATTATGTCACGGTATTGAATTGTTCTCTAATTAGGGGAGGGGAGGTAGTTTGTAGGCGGCCAGATAGCTTAGTCAGTAGAGCCGCAGTACGGTATGCCGAGGGTCCCAGGTTTGAGTCTCGGTCAGGCTTCACATTAAAAATATATATATATATATATTTTAAATGGAGGTGTTTCAATCATTACTCATGGCAAAAAAAATAATTTAGTGAGTATGTAAAGGATCAATGTAAAGGGATCCTTTTTTAGGGGAAACCTCAGATGATTCTTATAGTGTAGAATTACCGTCTGAATGCAAGTGGTGTATAGCTTTGAAAATTGTACATCTTCTCTCTAATTAGTGCTGTACAACTAAATCCTACCGTCTGTTGAGGCCCTTAGCTCTCTTTTTGTGTCATTTTCTTTCCCCAATTCAGAATAATTACGTAACAAGCATTACAACTAATATTCTGTTCTTCTAGAGGACAAAATACGTTTACATTTTTTATGAAAAAAAAACATTTAATAGACTGTCATAAGAAACAATTTAGAATATCTGGTAAGTTTCATTGTTCATATGCAGCTAACATATATGTATTTCGGATCTTATACATGTAGATCTGTATGTTCTGGTTTTATTTTTAGTAATTTTGAAACGTTGTTTCAGCAATGGTTTAATCTATATGCCTGCATTATTTACAGTTTGCACATATTGATGAAATCAATGTTAAATAAGAACGGGCACATCCACAATAACGTACTAATCAATCAGAAAGCAAGTGTTTTCATACTGTGATATTAACCATTAAAAATGTCACGTAAAATGCTCACTATGATAGGCATGTACATCTCAGATACCAATCTATAGAAAAATTAAACCCTGTTTATAGTATTGATATGGTATCAATATATATGTGTATTGCAATAAAGGTACAACGCAAAAGTCATGTGGTCAATCCGTGTAAAGATGATATCTACTATAAGTATGAAATACTTTATTGTAATATGATTTCACCGGTAAATTATGATACCATGTACTAATATAAACGAAAACCACAGATTAAGTCAATATCATTTGATAGTTGATTTAATTTAATTTAATTTAATTAACTTGTCTGTCAGATAATAACTCAATTAAAGTATAAATCAAATCAGTTAAACTACTGAGATCATTCTATGTATATGGTACACACGTTTGTGTATAAGATCGCGTGCAAACATGCTATACATCACGCTTGACTATCAAATCAACACCAAGGCTGACTAAATCACCAACGCTATGATTACACCAACGACGGATATAAATCATTTAACTTGATTTGATGATTTTTATAATGATTATTTCCGTACCAGGTGTGATTTACAGGAGGCAATTAGAACATAAATATAGTTGCATTTTTTTCATGTTCACTATCGACAAATTGTGGCTTCTTTTACCGATTATTTACCATTAAAAATGCAATAATACATTTTAATTGATTTGTTTACATGCAATGCACGCATAACTACTTTCAAATCTGACAGATGGAAGTTTGATTTGACTGAAACTCATGATTTTTTTTCTTTCTCGGCTTGACATGCAACACTGAACTGGAAGTGTTTAAAAAATTAAACATCTTAAACGAATGTATTTCACGCGATCCAAGACTTAAGTCTGAACTGTTCAACTTAAAGCACTTGATCGATTTCATCTTTATTTCTTACGCATTGCCAAAAAATCTTGTTGATTATACAATAAAAGAGATCATTTATAATATCTGCGAAAGATCAGAGTACTGTAAAAGTGTTATTCCTCGACTGAATGTAATACAAGTATTAAAAATGCTACTAAATGCTGAGAGTCTTGAAAAAATGATATTACCTTTCTGCTTGTGTGAAGATTTATCGAACTGTACCGCGCATTGATTCACAACTTGGTTAACAATTGATCTTTGAGCAAGTTAGATGTTTTGGAAAGTATTGAATATGTATTTATTAAAATTTGATCTGATTTTCCTCTGATTTGTCTTCATGAAGCTAGTGTTTAGAAGATAAGTCGGTAGAGGTCCGCCTCGTATGTAACTAGAGGTCGCATACCTCCAACTTAGGCAGACGAGATACAATGTGACTGAAAAGCATACGTAACAAATTGTTATCTTTATGATATATATATATATATACGGCCTCGAATGAGTTGCCATATTATATAAAATTTGAATAAACTAGTCAAAGAAATTGATAATAAGTGAACCTCTGATATGGCCAATTGCGTTTCTTATTGAATCGGAAGTAAGGGAAGAAGCGTTTTGTAATTTAACTAACATTTATATCTTTACACTGTGTTCAATTGTACAAAAATGATGATTTTATATATCACTGGAAAATTAGCTGCGTTTAGGTCATAACTTAAGCGAAAAATATTAATAAATATAGTCTATATGACTGTTGTATCTCGAATACAATTTATTTTTGCCAGAGTTAAGATCTTTGGTGCAATGACTGATTTATTGAAAGCGAAATAAACTTCAAGATTTAACTTAATTGGTAAACTTCATTTGATTAATGGTTTTTGAATGGCTACACATTAGAAATTAGGATGCTTACGCTTCATTTATATCAAATAACGAGTCCACGTTTCTCAAAGAAGTGATTGTTCTTTTATTATCTTGAATAATTGTACGTGCTAAATTTACATAAAATAGAGAAAAACGGAATTCAAAACGTCCAAAACGACAAAATTAAAAATATACAGGCTCGGTCTTATTCTCCTGTTCATGGACGGCAGTTGTAATTGTAAACCACCGTCAATGCCTTCCAGCACCGGCTTCAGCAGTATTAAACAGAAATTCAAACAGCTATACTATCATTTATGTGCGAGTTAACTAAAGCTGATCTACTTAAGTAAGCGTTATGATTATTCAGCAAGAAATATGAGCCGCGTCACGACAAAACCAACGTAATGCGTTTGCGACAAGCATAGATCCAGACCAGCCTGCGCATCCCCGCAGTCTGATCAGGATTCATGATGTTCGCTTACAAACACTATTACAAGTAGAGAAACTGACAGCGAACAACATGGATCCTGATCAGACTGCGCGGATGCGCAGTCTGGTCTGCATCCATGCTGGTCGCAAACGCATTACGTTGGTTTTTGTCGTGACGCGGCTTATATCAATTTCGTTTAGCTTATGTGTTTGTTATTCGGGTATTATATTTTTTACCAAGTCTTGGGCATATCTCGGCTGTCGATTTAACTGGTTTTCCTGGATAACAAGCCAGTATACCAATTTCTCTGTAAGTGGGCCAACAGCTTATCCCACACGATTTCGGATATAGCGGTAATAAGACTCGAAATCAATCGGCACCTCGCAATAGGATAAAATAAGCGACCCCTAGGTTACTTCATATTTTTATTTGAAATAAGAGTATTATTATTTCATTAATCATCTATTCAGAAAAAGACAGACCATCAGTAAATTTAGTAGTACAATTTGCAATGATATAAATATAAAAGAAAAAAGTACTAAGTTTTATACAAAAGTGTTTATTTAACATTAAAACAAAAACACCAATAGATTATTGCAAAAAATAATTGATAGATGACATATTAACAAAACCAGGCATTAAATATATCAACTGAATAATTTTATGCAGTCATAAACGATTTTATAGAACATGGTTTGTAAAAGCGAATAAAATGGTAAGATTTAATGACCTGAAAGAAATGAAGTTAACCATTTCATAATGACATTCAATTCAAATTTAAAATTGCTTTATTTTGTATCTTTGGGCAAAATATTTCATAGATATTGTATAATAAACGATTTAAAAGATACACTGTCATGTGTCATAGTTTATGATTAACTCACCTAGTTATGTTTTCATCACATCTTTCTTGCCATCGACTTGTGAAGGATTAAATATTCCCCAATCATTAAACTAAATGAGTTACACATTTATGTATTTTCATTACATTCATCATTGATATAAACAATGCAGAATCATTGTAGTATAGAACTTTGGCAACATGTCTTGCAAAATAAATTCTTGACAACAGCTTACAACAAATATGCTATGTAACTTTGTAAAAAGAGGACAAAACAATTACAATTTTAGCTTTTATATACAATAGGCAAGACGAAGTTTGAGCATTTTTGATGATGCATAAATAAATATCAACATGCTACTTTTACTAAACGAAGCAGACATAAACATGTAATCAGAATATTAGAAACTAATTGAGCACCAATGTATGTCCTATCTATAGAAAAAGTTAAATATATACAAACATCAGTTTTGTTATTTCAAATTGGAAAATGCGATAATTTTTTTGTAAACCGGTAATAGTTAAAACGAGTTTTTTTCTTCAATGTTTTATTTGTTTTATCTTATACCCTGGATATTATAGTAAGCTCTCAGCATTGTATCTACTTCTATGGGAATTAAAATTGACATATCGACAATATGCCGGAATACATTGAAATCAAGTGTTTGATTTAACGTTTTCTTTTTATTTTGAATGATTAAAATATGTCTTACATTATTGTATTGTTTATGTATATGTGAAGAAGAACACCGTCCCTGAGAAATAATAACCAAACAAATTCAATCTCATCTTTAACATGATAAATTAATATATCCACCTACACCACCTTCCTTTTTGAACACCTTTTTCCTGTTTATCCTTAGAGAAAGACAATTTCACAAAACCATCCCTGATTTGAAAACTCATTAGTTTTATCATCTAGGATCCTTGTCACATTCACATTCTAATACCCTGTCAATCCTGTACAAAACACCATTATTTGCTATTATAGGCGGTCCGAGAATATCCGAATAAGTGTTTATGAAGAATTTGTCATCTTTGCCGTGTTTGAATACAATTGTCTCATTTTGTAACGTTTGAATTCTCAAAATCGTTTCTGGTGTTATTGCTCTGTTGATTAAAATTCTTGAAATTATATGATGCTGGATTAACTGAAAAGAATATGAAACTATTAGTGAAATATCACGTAATTGTTTATATTGGTATTATACACGAATGTTTTACCAAACTGAAATATAATGATAAACAAGACGTTAAGATAATCACATACTAAATATTGTTTAAGATTGACAACAATATAAACCGTGTATAATACGTGAGCAAATAAAGTAACTTAAATTTATGGGTTTAAAATAAGTCAATTTCATAAATATCATACTTTTAGCTGCTTCATTTATAAATAGTAAAAGAAATGGACAGGCTGATTATGTTGTTACAAATGCCAGCAAAAACAAGCCACACTATTAAACAGTTATAGACAGAGAGCAATGTTACTAAGAACAAATACTAGTCTCTGACTCAAGTAGGAAGAATTATTGTCACGAAAGACAAATGAAATTGCAACGTCTCCCTAGCACCTGCATAAGAAGTATTTAATCTTCAATACTAAAAACAATTGGTGTTATCAAAGATCCCGAATGACCAGAGACAAATATGTATAATCACTTACCATTTTTACTGTATGTGTTTTGTCAAATATTGCATCAAATTGCCAAACTGGTAGCTTATTGAACGCTTGATCTACTGGTGCAAACACAGTGAAACTAGCATCTCTATTTTTCAGTAATTCTGTAAGCTCTCCATATTCCAATCCTTTCTTAAAAATACTGTAAAAGAGAAGAATTTTTGAGTAGCACTGTTGAAACAGAGAAACAGAAAAAAAGTAATAGAATTCTTCAGAAAGTATTGTTAAAACTGATAAAAGATATAGTATTCTTCAGGAAACATTGTTGAAACTGAAACAGAAAGAATGCTTAAAGAAACAATGTTTGAACTGAAAAAGAAAAAAATGGTATTCTTCAGAATGAAAATAAAGAGACCATATTCTAAAAGAAAACATGGATAAAACAATTTATATTTCATTTTGTTATATGATTTATGCTACAAAACATTTGTTTGATTTTAAATAAAATACTACATTTTTTGTATTTCATAAATTGATTTCATAAACTGATACGATGATGTGCTCAGTTCAACTGGTGGCATTGACCTAGGCAAAGAACAGCAAAGAAATGAGGTTTCAAAGTTTAAAAACTTGTAATACTCAACAGCTGTTTAGAGAAGCTCGAGGCAAGAAATAATATCTAAAAAGACATAACAGTTGATGTAACTTTATGCCATCGCAATGTTAAGGGGGAAAGATTGACTATGAAGATACGACTTAAGATGTTATAGAAGACATGAAAGAGCTATTTGACATTGATTAATACTAACCTTAAATCTTCCGCATATTCTATTATATCAAAGATGTTATTAACTGGCGGACTAAGCACTTTGTCTATAACGTGGATTATACCATTACTGCATTCGTGATTAGGCGATGTAATTGAAGCATCGTCCATTAAAATACCCTGAAAATCAAACATATAAAATGCAACTTTTAGCTGTAGTAATACTGATAGAAATTTTATATTCGCAATTTACATATTAGAAAAGTGACTTTAAATATCAATTACGTATGCTTGACACCAGTCTTTACAACCTTTAACTGAATTATACATTATAGTGCCTTTGTGGCTGAGGGGTTGCCTTAAATGACTGACGCTAAGAGGCGACTAAATGGGTTCGAATAAGTGGAGCCTATGCATTTCCCATAAGACTCCAGCAGGTGAGGTGATGGTTTCGACCCCTGGTGTTGCTTTAGAGTTTGTGAAAATTTAAAGAATAAAAAAGATTTGAAAAAGTACTTGTACACAATATTCAAGAAGTTACATACATCTCTGTGTATTGATATTTTCATAATGTTCCCTGAATTCATGATAATTCCGTGGTCACCAACAAAATTATCCGTCTTTATTTTGCCTATAGAGGAAGCGTAGTCAAAAATTGCCTCGAATATCGTTGGATCTCTGGCTAGGTCCTGTTTTCTCTCTTTGGGTAAATCTGTAGCAAATGTGTAGATCTATATATATTTTTCTTGTGAATGGAAATAAATATCGAATTTAGAATTTTGATACCGTATGATTTGAGGTAAGCCAACGCAACTTAAACTTTGTTAGAACTTCATAAAACGGTTGATTTTAGAAAGAATACTCTTCGGTTATATAATTGTGTGCAAATGTGTCGTATTCAAATGAACACTTTAAATATCATAAGAAGAATAAGTTGATTATTTTTTAATATATTTATTTAAGCTCGATTGCGAAACAAGTTCTTCCAACTTGCATTAATCACTTTCGAGTCCGCTTCCTGGAACAAACCAGTACTGGTGTCAAAGTCGTGACCTGATTAGGGCTCGACGGGCAGGCAGACACCATAATTAATAAACCACCGCTCCTCTTATTCTAGAGGCGATTCAAGTTACATTTTTGGTTGACAAACCATCATTTGTATCAGATGTATGACTATTGCTTATTGTTAAAGAATTTGTCATTTTAATTTGTAAAATATACCACTGAATGCTTCGTCAGAAGGAGCAAATATGGTCATTTCAGTTGATCCTTGCAGCTTATCAAGTAGGCCAGATTCATAACAATATTGTAGAAACTTTGTTAATCTTAATTGTCGTGCAACTCCTTCCATGGTCTGTACTACAAATAAAAAGATGAAAGAAAGGTAAAGAGGAAATAACGATATTCACTTAATCCTCAAGAACAATATGTTGTTTCTAAAATTTTTATAACAATGAACGCTTATCTACATGATTACACTCCGGATATTTATTTTATAAATGAAAGTATAAAGAAAATAAATCATGTTCAACGTATGCAAATAATATACTTAGTTTACAGCATATAATGTATCAAATATTTGTAGTGTTACATGTATGCACAAGTTAAATTACTAATGTATGATGTCTATGAACTGAGATATCAAAAGTATAAAAGGAATCTTATGTACTTCACGTCAGTGTTGTTTTAGTTTTCTTGTCATTTGGGACCATCGATTCCAACACTTTTAAGTGTTGAAAATTGATAACCGCTTAAGTAGTTGGCATGTATGGATGTTGCACTTTTTCATTATCCCGTATGAACATACTCAATCAAAGCGAGTCTGCAATTTTCATGTAATTTTGTTGTGATTAATGCTTCGCAGAGATCACAATTTTCCAGATTTTTTTAAATTCACAGTAAATGGACAAATCCAACATTGTAATATTATATTGAATTAGTAAGTATTTAAATACCTATGCAGGGATAAGCATTGTTGCCGTAATAGACTTACTTTCTGACGGAAGTTGTATTTTATTTATGATATGAATGACACCATTTCCGGCCACGAGATCAGGTTTTACAATCTTCGAGTTGTCAATATAATGCCCACTTTCTTTACATTGGAATTTCATCCGTGATCCATCAAGCATTCGGACACTACCCTTGTCTATAATAGCTGAGCTACAAAATATACCAGGAGCAGTATGGTGTCGAACCAATGCTAAAAATAAATCCAAATAAACTAAAAATTATAAACGGTGCCAGATTGTGTGTTATGCACTTTATTTGCCTTAATTACCCATGATAAGACAAACCCAAACATATTTTTTAAGAATTTTTAAGATCATTTTATTATTTTTTAAGATTTTCTTTATTGTAGCGATAATTACGGTATCCGCAATAAAATAGTTTCTATCGAAAAATCTACAGACTCAGCTAAAAGTTCTGCTAACTTGCAAATATTTCATAACGTTAAGAAATTTACATTTTCAGATTATTATAAAGCTTGTATTATCAAGTAATTGCATCTTGCCTGCAAGTCAACAAAATATTTTGCCGAAAGGGAAAAGAAACAAATATTATAGACATAAAACACATGTTATTTGAAGATTTCTCTTTATTGTTTTCTGCTTGAAGAATAAGATATATAATTATTTAACCGCAAAGCAAACAGTTGCTCAAACAAATTGGAAGATGCATTTGTTTTAAACTATCATCTACAAGGGAACACAAAAACACCGTTCTTTGAAACATCCTAAAATATTTGTATTTTGTTTCTTACCTTCGGCAGTGATTTGCTCTCTAAGAACCCGTTCCAAAAGTAAAGGAGGCAATCTCGAAAAAGCGTAGTTACTTGGCGCAAAAAGCGTAAAGGGGCCACCTTCCCTGAGAAGGGAGAATATCTCTGAAGTGTAGAGGACCTGAATGAATTGTGAGAATTGGGAACTGTCTCTAAACATCACATCAGTCATATTGCCAAACATGTCGTAAACCTGCAGCATCTGTATAATGAAAATGAGTTTTAAAATTCGTTAACTAAAACCAAATCACCATAAGGAAGAAATTAACAGTGAATTCAAGATATATCATGAAAAAGTTGAACATATCAATATTTTATTTCTATTTATCTAATATCACTTTTCTTTTGTTTAGATTTAAGTTTGTTCACTTAATCATAACATATTTTTCATAAATTTCTTAAAAAAAACATGCCAATATTCGATTTAAATTGATATGGTGTTATTAGTTAAAAGCCGTAAAAAGTTGCATATTACCTGGTCAATGAGGTGGATTACTCCATTCGACGCTAATACGTTACTGCGAATTATCCTTGCACAATTAACTGTATGTACCTGGAATAGGGAAATAAGATACTATTTAGTATACGCAATATATGTAATGACAAAATAATAGACTTATAATTACTCCATATCAAACTGTTCCATTCTAGCATAAATAAAGTACATACAACAAAGTGTAAGCATATATTTTAAAACTATTTTCTACGTGTGGTTAAGGGGCTGCTTAATATGAGTATAATATAAAACAAATTAAAAATCTTACATCCTTTTTTGTTACTCTATTCGCCCAAATCGGTTTTAAGCCGTAATATAATGTAGGTAAAAACTCGGACTTTTTCATGTGGTCAGAGTGATGCCAACCTGGTACAACGTGATAATGTAGAAGGGACAGTGCGTTATACGTCCACGGAAACACTCGCTGTCTGAAAGGAGAAAAGAGATAAATCACTGGATGCAAAGAGATAAAGAATAATATTCCACCCTTTTTTGAGACGCCAATAGCTCACATTACCGGATTTGTAGATCTTGTTTTTAATAAGCGACCCTTACTTGATGAGTCTACTATCTGACAAATCGTGTTCGTGCCCTTTACACATGAACTAAAATGGTTGTGTTTGCAGGGCTTGGCAATTCACGAAATTTATTTTGCCTATAAGGCTTTGTTATAGGTCCAGTTATTTCATTGACTGTGATACCTTAACTTTATCTTCCCTAGCATTCACTAAATACATTATCATAGGAGAATGTGACTCACAAAGAAAGAGTTCTTTAATCAATGTATAAAAATTTTATGTTGCTATTTAAGTAAGTTATTTATGTAAAGTATATTTTTCTTTAAATATAAACGTTGTTTAAGTGTATGTTAAAATGCTACGTTGGATTTAGCATTTTCATTAATCTATTATGATTTCTCGAAACAATCATAATTATTATCATATTAAGTCAGAAGAAAGAAATTTTTGTACCTTACTTACTTCTGATCATGTGTGAGTTTATTAAAGGCCTCGTCAATTGGTACAAACACAGTATATGCGCCTTCTTCTTTTAGTCTGTATTCTAACTCAGTATTTGTTAAAAGTTTTGGAAACTGTGTGAGTCCAAGATCATTCATTGTTTCACGTAAATTTTTCACAGGCTGTACTAAAAAATCATAATATATTGTATATGACATATCTGAACCTATTGTCCGAATAACTCAAAATATTGCTCATTACTAAATTTGCAAACAGTTTTGTTTTTGCGATGGTTACTATAAATTAAAGCATATGTTATTAACCGAATTATCTTTTCAACATCATGCTTTTTACATTGCGCTATACTAGATATAAATTATTCCGTCAAAATGTTATACCTATAATGCTGATACACTGCAAATCTATGATATGACATAAATGATATGACAAGATAAAAATTATCAGATTCAGTCTAAACAAACACGTATCGTAACATTCTTAACACGCCTTTATGTGTTTATGTTTATTACAACATTTTCACATTATCTAGGGAAGTGATAATATCTATTTTTCTTAAATTTACATTTAAGAGATACAGATATTTTATAACAGAAACTATATATATTTTTTCTTAATTATATCAAACTTAATATTAGCTTAGCAATTACGTTTAATTACGGCTCATTATACCTTCAGAAACAAATAAAACTTTACTTCAAACACGACAAACACGATTTTTATAAGATTTATGTAAGGGTTTAAGAGACTGTTAGATGTTTGTTACCTGAAGAAAAAAGTAATATATGTGAAGTAATTTGTCATGAAGGAAGCAAAATATAAACAAAGTAGTATTTTTACTCTCATTCATAATACTTATTCACTATAACTGCACTTAGTGCTAAAAACAACATATGAAAAAGATGGTTCGGGTATTTGGCCAATGACTAACTTTTCAGACACTTTAAATGCACACCAAATTTAAACCAAAATAAATGCATCCCTGAGGCATAACGAGCCTTTAACATAACTTTTATAAAACGATTGTTACAAGAACCAAATGTTTTCCAGTAAAAGATAATTATATTATTAATTATGAAACTTACACTCGGGACATCCATCCTCCCCATCGACAACCCCATAACCGCAACAACATTCATATCGTACAAAGGTTGGTTTGCCACATACTTTCTTTAATCTTTTCTTGACACAGTCAGGGTAGAATTTTTGACCGGTTCTGTATACCTCTTGGATTGCACATACGTTCGGACTGTAATACAAATACACGCCTTCTATCTAACTTAACTAACTGCATAAACATATTATCTTTAACTCGATTGAAAAACAGATTATTACGAATTACCTATCACTTCCTTCAACTGTGTTATGAACAAGTTCTGCTTTCATATGACAAAACAAAGCCCATAAATCAAAATATTACAACAGACACTGCGCTAGTTAAACAAATTTATATTCATATTTTGATATTAACATGGATGACCTTGATGTGATTTGACTACACATGGTAATGCTTTAGTCTGAATTTAAGCAATGTTATTTCAGCTATTGATATTTTGTTCACTTTGATATTTCGTTAACCTTAGGAGTACACTATTCAGTGATGAAAATACACATGTTACATCTTGAAAAGCAGATTGTAAATTAGAGGAAATAAAGGCATAGAAACAAGCAAAAGAACCAGTAATGAAAACCAATTGGACAAAAAATTCGGAAATTGCTTCACCTAGTTTGAACCTTTTGCACTATATCATTATTGCAACAAATGCAGAAGTTGGCATGTTAATGCCCTTCACAATGTTTTCTTTTTATCTGAAGTGTTTCCAACAGGGGAAAACGTTTCAAGAGATTAATCTTTTTATCAAAATTTACATCTGTTGCATTGTTTCATCTTGGAAGTTTATTCAACAGTGTCAAAATGTCAAGGTTGGACTCAGCTTTGATCGGCTAATGTAATTTTTTTTTCTTTGATTACAGAAGAAAGTGCAAGCTTTGGAAAAAGAATGGTTGGGATGTTTTATCAATTCTGACAATTATTGTTTAAAAATGAACAAAGTATTCCCAAAAGAAATAGAGAAAATAGTAATCCATAAAGAACGTCCAAACCGGCAAAATTGAAAATGTTGCAGGCTCGGTTTGATTTAGCCTTTTCATGGACGGTAATGTCAAGTGAAAACTTATGAAACCGATAACAGAGAAACAGCCGAAGTATCATCCTGAGAATAGACAGACAGTGTGCTATAGATTTTCATTAAGAAAGCAGTTTTGTGAACAGGATGTTAAATTTCTTTTCATGTTTCGTGGTATTTAATATAATTCCATTCTGAAGTGAAATTTACCAATTCTCTTACATAGGATAATAAATGAAATTAATTATTTCAGGCATATATTATGATATTGTTTTATGCTTTTATTTTATTTTGTTCTTTAAAAAATGAGGAAAAAACAACAACAATAAAAAAACATTAAATTTATTTACATTTCACACCGACCTTGATATTTTGTAAGCTTTAATGTATATTTTATCTCTAAATTGATATATGCCAATGTATTTGGTTTCACTGCGAGATTGAATCAGTGTTAGTTTTTTCTTCCCTTTCTTTCACACAGTTTTTGTTAATTTTCTATAAATAAAATTTTACAAATTGAAATACCTTGTATAACGTCAAACATGCCATAGATAACAAATATTTTACCTGAAACAATAGCTTCATGTCCTGTTATGTTATGTAATGTTTCTACAAATAATCAAAACTGCTTTTTATTGATGTTGTAATTTGTTTGTTTTTTTTTCTCTTTAAAATGTTCTTTAACTCAATGATGTACTACTTACTGATCGAGACATACAATACGCAATGGAAAGAACAGTCACCTATGTCAAATACTTATAAAATTGCACACCTTTAGATAAACATTTATATAATATTCAATCTCATTTGTTATTTCTAAGTTTCTTTTAGGAACATGGTTACATTTGTGACAGAAATAAATCAATTTTCATAACAAAAGGTTTTAAACTTTTCTTTAATAATGTAGTGTCAATGTATTATTTTGCGATCGAGAGCTTGTACGTAGTATTGTATCAAATGATAACTCTTAAATATGATTATATGACAAAGAGTCATCAAATTACTTTATTTTGAACTATTCTAGCAAAACTGTTATTCACTTGTCATTATTAACATATTTTTATGACATTTAACGACGCTTATTATTTTCTACTGAAAAGAGCTACGAAATAAATTTTGACAAATGACATGCAAAATGTGCATACTAAGAGAGCAATTGTCTTGCTTTAAAAATCTTGCAATTCTTTGTCATGAATTGCACTATTGTTTTGTAAGGTCAATAAGTCACTTAATTTGTATTTTAAATTGTTGTTATTATAGTCATGATTATGTAATTGACTTATTGATATTAAGAATATATTTAGACATTCGTTATCCTGCAGACATGAAACATACATGCCTATAGTTAGTAAAATCAAATAACAATTGGTTAAAACAGAAAAAAGAAAACAAATATCCATTTATTCATTTTCAACATTAGAGTAACCCTGTATAAATTGATTATGTCATGGATCGCATGTCATTAAGCTATGCATTACGCTTCAATATCCCATCAACACCTCCGCCGGCAATAATCATATCTCTTATTATCAATACTACAATCCAGACCAAACATAAATCATTTTGCCTCATTAGATCTTAATAACCTTAATAATGCCTGACCAGGTGTGATTTTTGAGAAGGTAATATACCTGAAGAAATATGCCCACAGTATTGTATACATTAATTTGTGCGAAATAATTATTGTGAAGACCTGTAGAGTCATGTGTCCTGATCTTGTCACAGGTTTCAATGGCATAATTGTTAATCAACAGACATTGACGGCATGTTCAGAGGTTGACATTGCTAAATGAGAGTAGAGTGATCATGCTTGTAAAGTACACCTGTCATAATATGTCAAACTACAACAAACTACAACATATAAAATTGTTTGTCGTACGAGAAGTTTTATCTTTCGATGTTTATGATGCGATAATTAGTAAATAATTTTATAATGTTATTTAAATTTTTTTACTTGTCCAAATAAACTGATTGCTTTATGAAACTAAGTTCAAACAATAGTGGATACCAAAGTGACACGAAATTAAATGGCGAACATTTTAAAATCAGAGTTACATAATACTTGCATTTTAATTGAATTTTAACATAATCATTTGAACATTGCTGTTATTAGTTTTTGAAATTTGTTTTTAATCACAATGTTTTTATCCACCCCCAATCAAATTTGTACATGACAAAATATTGTAAGGCAAAGCTCATTTACATTAAAAAAAAATGATATATTGACGTTTTTTCTGATATATACTTGTTTGAAAAACGTTTTCGAACAAATCGCTCTGTAGATATTATTAAGATTTATGGGTTAAAGTAGTTATGATCTTAATGTATGCTATTGTCATTTTCCCTTTTGTTCAACGGGAGTTTATGTATTTATATCCATAAAGTATAGCAATAAATCAAATGGAATATGATAAAGCGGTAATGAAATACATTTTGATTATTATTCTTCAAATAGTTTTCAAAAGAAGATTTCTACATTAAATTGATAAAATAACAACGCATGCATTAAATAAAGCAAAGCAATATGGTTACCGTAATATTTGGTAATACAACAGATAGCTTAATATTAAAGTTGTAAAAAATAGCACAACCAACATTGCATACAATGTAAACATTTGAAAAAATGCCTATATATCATAAAGTATAAACTATCTTTTTTTTCCTCGAAACAATTTCAAATATCAGAGGTTCAGTCGAGCATTACATGATGTTAGTAACTTGCATTTTTTACTAAGATAATGACTCAGTTTACAATGTTTTATGCAGATAATCCTCTGTCTTCTGATAAAGAAATTCGAATGAGCCAAAAAAGATATATATTCTGTGGATATCCTGGTTGGAATTGCATTCATAGCTTTTTTTTTTACAAAGGTCAAATAGTACAACTATTTTAGAGCACAATGTTATGTTATATTCGTATACTATCTTTTAATTTTACGATTTACAAAAAAATGTTCACCGCTTATAAAATACATATTATCATGCTAGATATCTTGTTAAGATAGATTGCTTGAAGCAGTGTTATTTCTTGATTTAATATTTATTTCCACAGACAGGCACCTGGAGAGATTTGTGATATACTTTGGCAAACAGTTGGTTCAATGCAACACAATGAACCGATGTAGTGAATCTTACTTTGCCATAGGCTCTTACTTTATGTAAGACATTGCGTTGTTAATGATATTTAATAGAAATTTGAGCAAGATTCCGTTGTATCAAGATAGAATTGTTCACACTCGAATCACCTCTTTTCTAATACAATCATGCAACAACAATGTCTGTATTTACAAACATATAGTGATACAAAAAGAAATACTGATTAAATAATTTTTTAAATCGTTTAAACATTCATCACTGAAAATAAAAACCAGGTGATATTTATCTGATATCTATACTTTATAAAATCATTGTTTTAATATTGAAAACAAATACTTTAAGATGCCTGTATGGTAGAAAAATACTGCTATATTTCCTTAAGAACGAATGGGGCATTCGCGAAATCATTGCAAAACTGTTAAAAATACCCTATTCCATATAGAAACATTATGTTGTCTGGTTTATTCCTCTATTCACATACAATATTCACGTGTGTTAAATAATAGAGATAATCTAACTCTTTTAACTCCGTTCTGTTTAATAATCAACCATAGATATTATGGACAATATTATGGACAATATAGATTTATTTTTTATACGTTTTATAGATATATTTGATTCGATAAAGTTTTATACTCCTAAAGTCGTGCTAAACTAGACATATCTACATTACAATATTTTTTTTTTAAAAAAACACAAACTTTCAGTTGGAATGCTAACACTAAGTTTGAGTAATACCAATAGATTAGAATTATAAGTGCATTTCTTTCATTTGTGAACATAAGAAATTGCTTATTTTATGGAAATTAAATCTTAATACATTTGAAATTACGGTGTCACGACTTCATGTGGAGACAATTAGATATTTCACATTAATACTTTCATCTTTAATTAATGTGTAAATAAGACTTTTTTATTCATCAAGGAACTGGTCCAACTTTAATTTGAAAAGCATTTTTCATGTTTATTACACACCACATTAATTGTCTTCACAAAACTACAATTAATCCCAAATATTGCACACATGGTCTTGATTTACCGAGGTTTCTATCGCGGCGAATGTTAACCATTATAAAATCAAATAATCTGAGTGTTTTAATGTTTCGGGCGTCCTACAAGGTTTCCAATTTTTCACATTGTACAACACTGAAAGCTTTACCATCATGGCATTGCAAAGAAATGGATGCAATTATGATGACACAAAAGTTTGATGTTTTACCGCAGATTTGTGACACAGAACTGGACGTTTTCATTAAATCAAGGTTTATCGTGTTTACGCAGTTTCGACCTTTCTCCAGCAAGCATTAACATGCGAGGGATCGACATATTAATAAATTTAATTACTAAAAACGACTTCTTTTAGTCTTTCAGTATGATTATTGCGTTTCGTTATCTTTTAATGGACTTTGTTATCAATAAAATGAACGTAAATGTAAGTGTTTTAATTATAATATAATATTATGTATTTCTGTGCATCTTGTAACAACTTGTCATTCAATCATCTCACTCGTTTACAGTCTAACCGTTGTCTGTTTCTATTACAAATGCTTTGCAATTATTTCATTCACAACAAGTTGGAAACGGTAGAGTAGGAACCGCTCGTAAATTAATCAATCTGTAAATTATACGATTTACAGAAGTGATAATTAAGTTAGGCTATGTTATCTTTTCCTCGCACCGCTCTAATTCTTTGAAGTTCTCATTTATAGCGCATGTTTATGTGAGAAAACAGTTTACAGGCCATGGGTTTGAATATGCATCGCACTTTAAAATAAAATCTGATATCAAAATTTCTTGATAGACATAATCGTAAAAAAATCATTCTATTTGAATTTAATTCTTCAGAGTGGCTCATTTTATGGAAGGCTTTTTATTTTCAAATGACGACACATATTTAAAAAGAAACAGTTTGCTGAAATGTAAATGGCTTATATTTAAACATAGACAATTGTTTAAATTTATTCCTCTGAAATTTGTGTAAGTAATTGTGGTAATTTAGACACACATGTGACAAAAATTAGGTGATACAATATCACCCAAGACGTATCAAGTGAAAACAAAAAAAAACTTTGCTGAGGGACTCCCGTTGGTATCTGTGTCATTTACCATTTATATTACGTTATATAATTCACGAAAAGCGTATATTCAATATTGCATCTAAAGGAAGTGCCCTAAACACTACCATGTTTACTTTCTTGGCGGTCATGCAATTAAATACTCAATCAAAGATACAAATCAATAATTAGCTTTACCGTGCATAAAGTATATAACCTTAATTTGATATTAATTTGATTTCAACGTGTGTATTTAAAAAGATATCTTTGATGTTCTCAAAAGTTTCTATTGAAGTCGCATTACAGTCAAAGTTGCCCTTAATTACGTTTATTCATTCTGATTGATGGGTTTAGAATTGCTCCAAATTAGATTACTCTAAACATGTGTTCTCAAAGAAGCTACTGTTTCCTTTTCGTTTCAATTAGGGTATCTGTTCATACGTTACAAAGAATCCTTTAAATTTACATATACTTATTTATATTTATGTGTCTAAATTGAAGATGGGACAAAAATATGATAGTCGTATCTACATATAATTTAAATAAACATCGCTGAATGTATCTCATTGTGATCGACATAAAATGGTAACTCAAAACATTGATGACATTTGCAAAATATTGCTTGACATGATATGAACCTTTTACTTGCTCAAGTTGTATACTGAACAGCCTAAGTAAGTCTTATAAGATTTAATGTAAAAAATACAGCTACCGACAGTTTAGAGCCTGGAAAGACTACAGTGACATTCAAGCTGGCATGATTTTATACTTATGGTAAAGGCTAATCATTTCCGGTTTTAGCAGGTAATGGGGCCAAAATCTGTACGATATATTCATTGTATATTCACATACCACAGTAACTATGTTATAAAGTCCTAACCAACCACCTATATTTCAGACATAAATGTCTGCTCTTAAATGATTAAAGTGAATTGGTTTATAATGGAAAGTGTGTAATATAATAAATAATAACATTGGTATTATTTAATATTTGACATTTTATGAAATCACGAACAAATAATGTATGGATGGTGTTGGCAAGTGTAAGATACATGGTTCAATATTTCGTATATTTATTTATATTGTAGATAATAAGATGTTCTACATTATTATTATTCATACAAATATTCTTACTAAAACACAAAGAACTTTCTGAACATTTGTTTTCAAGCAATAATTTATAAAAATAACCAAATGATTTTCATTTCTTTTGTTTTTATCAATATTTGAAATACTTATGGAAAATGTACACATTGTATACTTATCCACTTAAAAGTAAGTATATTTTGACACTTAACCTTTCAACAAAATAATAGTCTACTCATAAAATATAGTCCAAAACGTTTGGTCGGATCTAAGCTTAACTAAATATGAACATCTGCCACGATACAGATCCATTAGCACCTATTAAAGATATTTCTATTTATGCACTTCGTGACCCTTTGTATAAGTTAATTTCTCTTAACTCAAACTATGAGACATTTCTATTATGCCTCAAATATTTAAAAGGTCCATGACCCTTTGTATAAGTTGATTGTCACTCAACCCAAACTAGGAGCGCGATCCCATTTTCGATGTCTTCAACCAACTTGTATACCCACAGAAAGATGACCTAATAGATCAATGGAAACGTTTTAAATGTTTTATTAACCTAAATTTCTAAATTCAAACCAAAAGAACTATTCAGTTTGCATTTTCCATAAAAAGGATTCATAGTTGTGGTATTATTTCACACATGTCTGACCTTGAAACTTAGTATTAAATACTGCTGTACCTACGAGAACATTATTATACTAAAAAAGAAGCCCGACTGCAATTAGCGTTTAAAAGGTTGCCTTTTGATATAAGTTTCGTTTACATGATACATTTGCCGTACGAAACATCTTAGAATTACGTTGAAGACAATTAAAATACCGTGAAGAGTCTGTTTGGTTAATTTGATTGCTTCTGGTGAGTATGGTAGTCTGAGTGTACTTCGTAAATAATTCAATTTAGAAATGTGACAATTAAATATATGTTAACAATCTTGATTTGTGCACTGTGGCAAGCCTTTGATGTTTCAACATGTACTATCTGTTACAAGGGTAATGTTTTAGACCGGTGGGAAAACAATTAATAGACTGTTAAACAAAGATGTTGATGTTTAGCAAATGTGAGCTTAGTTACATCACTCAGTGACAGGGAAAATTTGTATTCCAGATATCATAGTTTTTTACAATTGATAATGCTTTGCCGACACATTTTATCGTTATATCTCCTGGTTTCATTACCGTCATATTTTGATGAATATTTGTTTCTCTATTTATAAATAACATATAACAGCCCTAAATTTAATGCAGATGTATCATTGCTGAAAAAACAAACAACAGTCTGACTTTAATTAAATAACATACAGAGGAGGAACGTATTAAACACATTCAATTCGAACAATACGGATACCCCTTTGCGAATTACAACGCATTCAAATGGGTCATCTTACAATACATTGTTTACACTTGATTTCTTTTGTTTCAAGTTTTTAAACGCTACATCTGATCGGCCGAGCCTTTAAACTCATAAACCTTTAACTTTTATTGATATCTACACAGTGAGAGAATCAATTAGTACGGGTATTTTGACGTGAGTAATAGAAGATCCCTTATCTTTACAATTAACAAATAATGTATTAAATTGGGTGGTACTGATTGTATCATAAACGATATATTCTTTTGATTCGTTTTCCACAAAGTTGGACATGAATAATAACAAGGTTGTGTATTACTTTACAAATCGACCGTTCTTTTTATAACGTATTTTGATGTTATCAATTTCTGTACTTAAAAATTTGTAACCGTCAAACTTCAAGGTATGAATTTCATGTCAATTAAACGAGGTTATCGTTGTTTCTGCTGAACTTGTCATCAGTGAAATTATAAAACATATATCACGTCTATCGATATCCGGAAATTATACACTTTGCTGATTTCTGATTTCAACTTTAATATCCCTTATAATTTAAAGATAAAGTACTTAAATCATTAACTAGAAGGTACATTAATTGATCAGATTCGACAGCAGATTCCGAAATTTAAAGTGCAATTATGTAAAATAAATTCATGACAAATGTTTCAAATGCACGTTCAGGTAGTAGAAAATAGATACCCTCTTAAAAGAAGCAATACTGTTAAGATTTCTTTTAACAAGGCAGTTTAGACAATGACAGTTGATAATGATCGCAATGGTCAAAAGTTGATGATATCAACCAAAGAAAAAGAAGAGGGGGCACCTGTGGAGCAAAAGATTGTTTGCGATAATAAAAGCATTATGATGACTTTAATATAATCTTGATCTTGAACGATATTATCTTGTAACAGTAACAACACCCATGTTACAAAATCAAAGATGTAATATCACTTTGTAAAAGTCCTTATTCATTTACATCTTTTTAAAATTGCAAAATAGATATCTGAGATTTGAGAATTGGTGAATTCAATTGAATAATATATCAATCAACATAAAGCCCGCCTCAAACAGATATGTCGGAAGATTGGTATACAGATTTTTATACGATTTGAAAATGTTAGAACAAGTGAAGTGAAGTTTTCAGACAGCTGTAAAAATTTATCAATTTGTTACGTATATATTTGACTGTTGGGAGTACCAAAGCAAATGTTGCTCGCGTAAGTTGTAAAAGATCAACTTCAGCTTCAATGTTTCGTACTTGATAAAAGTGTATTTTTTTAAAATAGATCACAGATAAAATCACTTTAACGTTTATTCTGTTTAATTGATTTTGCAAAAAAAAGATTTTCCTGTATGTTATATCTTACCAAATTGATATTACAATTTCTAACGTTCTATGTTGTCTCTAAAATAAGTTCATTTTCTGATATTTTTTTCTAAATTTTTTTGTGAGAACTAAGGAAGACTTATCAATTGGCCTAATTTCTACTTACCCGTAACTCGCAGCATCGTTTTGGAATTTGACGTTGGATTTTCGAGACTTTTTGGAATATTTCCATGCGGCACGAACATCACTGTGAACGACTAAACATACCAGGAACAAAGTTAAATACCAGTGCCGGAGCATCCTGCAACAAAAAAATCAAATACCAAGATCAAAATGTTTGCAACAAATAAATCCATATATTGAAAACAATGAAACAACTGAACTATCCTATCGAATACTTGTTACATTGCTTGGCCTTAGAGAATAGAGAAAAACAGAATTCTTAAAAAAGCCCAACATGACAAAATTGAAAATGCCGCAGGCTCGGTTTAATTGAGCCTGTTCATGGACGGTACTGGTAAGTGTTAGTTACCGTCAACGCCCCCTAGCACCGGCTTAAGAAGAATTCAACATTCAAAAGACCAATGTGAATAAATCATAATCTTATGAAATGAAAGGGCCGTTACAACAATATGCATTTTGTAAAGATATTATGGACACTGGATTTGAAAATGGGGCTATATGGTTTAGATAGCTTGGACTCAGAAAAAACAAAAACAAAACGATACGATATATATGATATAAATGTTTGATCCTTAAAATGGAAACGAGGCTTAATTTATAAGATTACATCCGATAATGCTATGGGAACACAACTTTAAACACAAGTTTAAACGCTGACATTTCATTGGTCTTATTTTATAAGGTGTAAAAAGGGTCTGTTTTTATTTACATAATTCACTTTATTTAGTCAAATCTCTACATATATACTCGTACTGTCCTTAATACTTATTTTGTCCAGACTGTCATTTTTTGTATCTTTATTTTTCATTTTGTTTCAATATCAACACGTGAACTGAAACACAATAGGTTTTATATTGTTTCCTTAATTGAAAACACTACCAGTAAACCGTTTAAATTCGCATTTTCCATGTTAAAGTTTTCTTATCTGATACGAAACGAGGTATCTCGATCTGTAATTTTATAATTAGCAGACGATAAAAGTTAGGAAAAAGCTGTACAGCTGCTGTTTATTTCAATGCACTTTTCTTACATATCTGCAAGAGTCTTATGAACTCTATATGAAATCGTAAATTTGTAGGAAACCTGTAAAGATTAAATATTTTGCTGACTCGACATCTTTGACTCTATAGTGCTAGAAACATACCGTAGTAAAATACAAAAACTGCTTTTGATAAATACCATGCCGAATTATTCTCATAGAATATTTAGATTCAAATGAAGTAAGAAAAGAAAGGTCAAGGTAACAAAATATGAAGAAGGAAATATTTGATGATTTCTTATTCTGTCTTTTTCTCTGCCTTAGCAGTACATACGTTATGAACGGACTCAAGGTCTGCAACTAAAAAACTTTGTTTTTTGCTCTCAATTTTTTAACAAAATTGTAAAACTATTTCTTAAAGACACTTAAAATGAGTTCCTTCCTGGAACAGGTTGCAGTTTTGTAGAATGTTTCAGTTTCTCAGTGCTGAGGAAAAGTATAATCCAATACTTTGGTAATAATGGCAAAACGTTGCAACCATTGAATCAGATACACAATTATAAATTACTTTCAAGTGCATGTGGGCATTATCAAAGATGTAGAAATCCGCTGATAAAGCACTGATTTAACTGATGCAGACTATTTAAATCATATCAAACTACAACGAAAGAATTCAAAGATAGTTCTCTCTAGAAGATTCAAAATCAGTTTGTATCTTCAATCATTATATTCCTTATTGCTTAAAAGCTCATTATGTCACAGAAATGCCGTCAATTTAATTTCTTGGTATCATGTTACAATTTCCAAACATATACTCATTTCCTATACACATGAACTAACTTTTGTTTCATTGCTTTATCAGCAATTAGTGATATTATATTATCCCTCATGTACAGACTCAATCAAACCGAGTCTGCAATTCTCTTGTAATCTTGTTGTGATTAATGCTTCCGAGGGATCACTTTGTTTACAGATTTTTATAATAAATCAGTATTCTTTATGGAAGTCAAAATACTACTTTGCTTATATTTTCATTCCTTTACGACACATCACTGCACGTTCAGCATATCAACATACTCTAAATTCATTACTGAAACATTATTAAACACATATTTGGCATTTAAAAGAATTGTTAAATATCGATTTCTGAGGCATACTGTGCCTTGAAGAAATTCATTTGGTATGCAGACAAATTCTACAAACGTTAAACATGCAACCCCTTTTAAAACAAAAGCATGTCCTGAGGAGTATTTCTACTTGTGGTATGTGTAAAACATTTATCAAGATACGTTAATAATTTTAATGCTACACTAGGTCAAGTCATAGAATTGAAAATTTATAATTTGGCTCTTAAAACTTACAAAACATGTACAACGAATTATAAGAAAAACACAAAATGGATAAGCAGTATCTCTAAAACGTTTATTTTAATACACTACAATTAATGGTCTTGATATGTTTGTAGATATGTGATCATTTAGGACTTTAGTCCTCATACACATGTTTTATCGTACTTTTATCAGTTCACTGCATAGATTAGTGTTATGATTGTTGATGATTTTATCTTTACAGGTTTCCAACAAATTTACTTTACGAATATGTATGTATATATATCATAAATCGTTTTTGATCTCGCATTTCGAGCCCAATGGTAATTAGTCATTCACCGCTGAAACAAAAATCATTTACGTTTAGAAGTCCGGCACTTGCAGAGAAAATGGTAAAAACTAGTTAGTTATAGAGGAAAGCTGGTAATAAAAAGTATTATTTATTGTATTGTTTAGTTATGTACTGAAAAGAAATATAAAATGCCTACTACCGGTATAATGTAATTGAAAGGAAACCAAGTTCTAGTAAATTAGCGTTTGTAAAGCATAAACCATTGATACGGCATATAGCAGTTATCTATGCAGTGAACTGATAAGCTTTGTAAATTGGTCTAGACATTTAAATCATGCAACAAGTTGTTAGAACCACCTTCAAGATCAGAGAGTAGACAGGAACACTTTCATTATGAAATTAGAGGGAAAAAACGACTCGTTACCTACAGCATATACGATGAGGCTTAACTGAAAGGCATGAAATTAGCACACATATATTGTAATTTGAATTTTATTTGAAACGTTTAACGTGAGCTATGTGATGCAATGAGTATTTGTTTGATGAGCGACAGATGGGAAATGCAAGAAAAATGATCAAAACGTTTTTTTTTTCGACGTGGAGGTCGTAAGCGACTTTTATCTGTAGGAAATGAAAGAAATAAAGGAAATTAGGCTTTAACAAATCGTTATTTATGTGCAAAAAATGTGTAGAGTATTTGAAATAGAATTCAGCAAATTTACTTCTTATAATCGAGTATATTTGTCCAAACATATTATTTTAGTTTTCTAAAGCTCGATGGACAAAAATAGAGAAAAACCGAATCTCTTAACAACGCCCAAAACGGGACAAATAAAAATTATGCAGACACAGTTTGATTGTGCTAGAGTTCATGGCCGGAAGTGGTATAACAAGCAGAGAAAGCAATGACATTAAACCGTTGCAGATATTATTGAGTCCAGTCGTCATATCTGATTTCGAAGGAAAATTTTACAAACATTGCAAACAAAAATATAAAATATTCAACTTTTGATGTTTTCTCTAAGCATAAAGATATCAACCAAATCTAACCTTGGTGATTTGACATCATTCATAAAGACAGTTTAAATATCATATCATGTTTAAAGCCATTTATGCAAATTTAGACCGAAACTGTAAATTTTAGACGCTGACGGTCATTTTCAATTAAAGCAGTACTTGAAGACTATCATATTTCATTTTAATACTACCAAAGTTCGTGTCCTCTGACATCACTAGAGTGTGTTCCCGTGACAAACCCCAGCTTAAACGAAAACTTAAAAATCTTTCATTTAATTCTTGTTTAAGAGTCTTCATTTAATTTTTGAAGTTTGACCATAAAATGCTAATAATGTATGAAGATAAGTTAAGTACACACATTTTATGTAGAACTTATCATATAATTAGATTACTCTTTACAGTAAGATTGTTTCCCCTTTCGACATTAAACTTTGCTAAATTTGTTTACTATTTTTGTATATATTCAATACATATAAATAATTTTTCAGTAATGCATTTTTACATCACTTAGTAAAGTTAGTTAAAATTGACATCCATTTTATGCATTATTGGGCTAAGAATAAAGAAGTAAAGTTAGTTACAAACTAAGGTTAATCCGATACATATAGTACACCAAATAGCAGTAGAACATACTGTGTGAAAAGGTGAAAATGACATAGACAAAAAATGAAAAGAAAAGAGTGTTAATGACATAATTTTTCGCTTAAGCTTGAATATTATGAGAAAAACGTTTGCTTTCCAGCTGGGGAAACAATTACTGTGAGGCTGAAATTATTCCATCACTTAGTACATATTAATATATGTTACCAGGATATTCTTTCTTACAGTATTTGGTTGTTAGAGTTTCAAAAACCTTCTCAGCTCTTTCCGTATTCCTGATTGTACCATTTATATCAGATTAGTGCCTAAATGGTGATATGATATGAAACTTTGTAAAACGTTCGTTTGAAATTCAAACAAATCACAGATTTCTCAGAATATGACATTATTAATAGAAAGGGTGTTAAAAGTCAGCAGTTTTTTTTTTTATAAATTGTTCTCGGATTTTCTTGGTATAAAGTACAGAGTGGCAAAAGTTCAGGTAAAATATAAAACAAATATGTTATGTTTTTATCACTTTTCAACGACGCCGTTTATTTCAACCTCCACTTGAGTACAAGTTAATTAGGACCACGCGTGCTTTCTGTCGTCAAGAATACTCTAAAGACATAAAAAAGCGCTTCTTTACAGACACATTTTTACCTCTTATGTTTTTATGAATGGATATATTTTATGGATATCAATATTTACTAAAAAAATGTAATAGTTTATCAGATAGAACCCCAAACAAAACAATACGTCTTTCCGCACGTGATGTATCAGCTTAATTAACTTGCAATAGCAAATTAAAACCAGATTACCTCCTGCCAACACCCCGATATAACATCACACTTGATGGCAATATCTCGTTTGTTAACTGTCACATAACTGCTATGCACAAATAACTGTAAATACGCATTCATTCAATTTTTCATTCATGGTTTAATGTATTAATTATTTCTATATTTAGTTTTTCCCCCATCGTTTTATCTGATTATCCCTCCTTTTGTCGCAGTCGTTTATCTTTGACCATCTAACATTTAAATGTCCGCGTGTGACGGGAATTATTATAATTCATACAGATATGATTTTTATGCAAAATTAGACCGTACCAAAAGTAATAAACCTATCCAATTTAATTATACGATAGGTAATATTGTATTAACATCTGTTTATTATGGTTTTGAAGATGGTCTTTTAACGGTTCATCAGTTAAATCTATAATTCATGACTCTACCCATCTACAGATGTAACCTCCTTTTTACCTGATAAAATGTATAGATATATATCTGTCGCAGGCGATTAATGCACGCTAGGATTAACGGTTACGTTTTTACATCGCAGTTTGTATGAAATGTTAATATTCTATGTAAATATCATTGCCCCAGAGTAACAATATGGGTGGTTTATAAGAACCATGTCTCCAGAATGATAAGAATGATTATTTGCCTGTAAGGGTTTCTCTTACTTTTCTGTCGCTTAAAATCTGTACTTAAGACATATTTAAGAGGTAAGATAGATGTATCAGTTTACAAACTGTTAAATGTTGTTTTTTTTTGAAAATCGTCGGGAGTGAAAATGCAGTGGCTGAACAAATGACTCAAAAATCTAGTTTCAATATTTTATCGATCATGTGCTTATAGCAACTGTTCAATCTTTCTCAAACTAATCATCCCCTACCCAACTTTTCACTCCCCCTTAAACAGAAACACACATTAGAAAAGTTTGATTTAGAGGAAAAATACTTCGTGTCGAAATTGCTGTAATATTTATTATCATTACAAGACACTTATTTACGTTTTTGTCATATCTATATCTAACCGATGTACGAAATTTAAAATTGACAACATTTTTATTACTAATTTTAAAGATTTTAGGGCTATTTATTTTCAATAGAATCCAGATTATGCATTTTTATACGTTTTAAAAGTTAACTCTCAATATATATAGCTCATGCAAGTGTGCATTTTTTGTATATTACGCTAAACCATATTTTTTTTTCAAAATTATTGTACCAGTAATTAAAAGATGAAAACAGATTCAAATTTGAAAATATCTCATCACTTTAATACATACATTATGTATAATAAAGCCACTAAAGATAAAGTAAAATATTCGTAAATTAATAAATTATAAAGAAATAGATAAATATTAATTAAGGTAAAGATTTCATTTTCTAATCACATGTATTACTTATTTATTATTTATGTCAATGTTTCTTTATCATTAAGTCAAACACTTACTTGTTCAATTATTATTCCGATATGTTAAAACGTTATAATTGTGAACCGTATCTCAAAAGATTCTCCCTACCTTCCCAATGTGAATTAACAACTGAATTTGTTTGTAAGTAACACGTACATTTACTACAGCCCTATCTTATTACACTCTTAACTCGAGTAATTTCGGGGTTGATTTGCATACAAGTTTCGCTATCGAAGAGTTAAAACTGGAATGCTCTATTTTACGCGTTGAAGAAAAAGTAGACAATTTTCTATTAATAGGAAAATATAAATATTATTGTTATGCAATGTCTGTAAACTTGACAGTATGTATACACTCATGCTACATACGTCTTATTACAGGATGCAATCGTCCAAATATAATATTTATGTTTAACTAGAAGCAAGTTGATGTAGGCAAGTTTGATTTTAGAAGTTGTAGTATTGAGTTAAAAACGTTTTTTTTATCTGTGAGAACAGTTTCTGTTTTAATGGTTTTTAACGTAAGATTTCCTCATTTTTAAACACTATGTTCATTAGATATAATTTGTTTATCATATAATTTATTGTATGGGAATTTAATGGATAAAAACTTTGCGTTATTTAAGGGTAAATTATGTAGTTAAGAAGAGGAAAATACGGGAATCACGTTTTCTTTTCACTGTAATTAGCATTATAATATGCGTTATAACTTCTGTATGATAATGCGTTTTTAAATGTGCCATTATTTAGATGTAGTAGTGGTTCTGCATCAAATACATAATAATTATCAAATTTGATAAACCATCCAAAAATCTCTTATCTATCTTTCTTGAAATTTCGATTATTTTGTATATCATTATTCGTATAGGGTATTGTAATCGATTAATTGTTGGTGCATGGAAATCTCGAAATTTTAAATTCGAGTATAATTGACATGTGGTATCGTTGCATGTAAGTCAGGTATGTCTGAAATCTTACCATGTCTTTGTTTAGTTAGTTCAAAATAATTTTTGAATACAGTAGAAAAAGTTTTTCGATTTAGAAGAGTGTGCGATAGTGAGGGATGTTGTGATGGTTCACTCTTGTCATTGAAGAGACTCTAAAGTATCTAGTTTAAAATGTTTATCTTCAATTTTTGTTTCAGGAATTTCGATAGTGGATACGTTGTAACTGTATACACATGCATTCGTATTAACCAGATCAGTATATTTTCAATGAATTATATTTGACAGATTTCGTTTATTTAAAAGAGAAAAATCGGCCTTGAATTTGTAAACTTTAAATGTTAAAAAATTAATAGAGCTTGACCTAATTTGTCTCGATATACTTTAAGTCAGGTGCACGCATAAATACAAAACATTAAAGTTAGTAGCCGCAAATTGGCACTGTTGGGGTTCAAATTCGAAATGACTTCATCAAATCATTGATACTTTTCGAACAAATATAAAAACATAAATTCAATGAATAACTTTCAATGAAATTGATTCTCATTAAAAATATATAAAATTTATTTCCTTTCATTTTATTCCATAATTTTTCTTTTTTACTATTTAAGAAAGATACGAACAACTTTTAAACGAAAGTTAAACTATTCATTAAAAAATGTCAAGCATGAAATTCATACATTTTCTTGTCATAAAAATGATTTAAGAAATTAAATTGCAAGTATGCGTAGAATGTAAAAGATCTCATAAAAATAAAATTAAATATGCATTCAAACTAGGAATGAAATGTATTTAAAATTCGATAAATCTAGATGTAGGTTTTTTATTGTAATGATATGAAATTTGATAAAATAAATGAACATAGTTATGTAATTAGATGCATTTATAAGTTTAAGCGTACACATTGTTTAATTTATCAGTTTATACCTACGTTGCTTGATTTATCAGTCTATACCTACGTTGTTTAATTTATCAGTTTATACCTACGTTGTTGAATTTATCAGTTTATACCTACGTTGTTGAATTTATCAGTTTATACCTAAGTTGTTTAAATTATCAGTTTATACCTACGTTGTTTAATTTATCAGTTCATGTCAACCCGCACCTTTGGCGTATGAATAATGATAATAGTAATAATTTGTAAATGTTTGAAAGGTATACCTAAGTATAAGTGACCCGTTATCGTCTATTTAATCCGGAAGCTTTGGAAAACGGTTGGTGACTGTTAAAATTAGTTAAACAAATATAAGCAAAATAATGCGTGTATCTTGCATTTAAGTCTCTGATACAGGGGCTATTGCATAAACAGTAAAATTAGTAGTATAATGTCACAAAAGGTAAAATTATGTTAATAGATTATTTTGAAAACAGAATGAGACATCTATTCACTCGAACAAAACATGACAACATCAACACAAAAAAGCAATCAAGGGCAGCTTCTTTCATGATGCATGTTATTTAAAAAGTGTATGATATAATATAAGTCAGAATGTAATTATTTTCTTTACACTGTATCACAGATTTGAAGGTGTTATATTCATATCCGGGAGACCGTACTGCAAAAGCATTGAAACATTGTTATATAAAGTAGTTTAAGGGCTTTTTAATATCATTTGTATCAATGCCACTTTTCTTTATGTACGTTGTAAATAAAGAATTATTTATGAAAATTGAAATTTATTACAGATATTTTGTTTCTACAAAAAAAGACATGAAGATATAGCTTTGGAGATTTAATGGAATGTTTTCTGACTAAAGAAGCTGATACACTGGTAATATGGTAATATTTACACATTTCAGTGGTATGTCCATCATAACAATATTGGAGTACATTTGGTTTGCTGTTGGAATTTTGAACAGCTGATGAATAAATCCATATCTTGTTTGTGTGATTAAAACTTGGATAAATATTTGGAAAAATATTAAAATAGTGATATTTGTCATAATGATTGTCAATATTTTTATGTATTGGATATAATGTGCAAATTACAACACTTCAGCAAATTTGTATGTTCTTATTAACAGTGATAAACAGATATCGTCAACAGAGAATGACAAATAATCACATAGCTACAAAACTCTTCAACATGCTTTGTAAAAAAACTTTGGTCCAATGAAGATTGCGTTCTGACTAGCATACTGAGTAATAACTTACTTTGTACCAACCATGTTTTGTGAGAACTGTTATATCATTTAAATGAATACTTGTCTAAAAGCATTGTTTTTATACTTAAAATATAACATTTTTAAATACTTCCACCATTTTATTAGCTCTAGAAAATAAACATCAGCAACAACCATAGGAATAAACATAATTCAATGTCAAGGACAAATAACAATACCTTGTTATCAAACAAGAACAAATTAACGATATTGTTTAGACATAGGTAGCACTTGTTTGTTATCTTCCTTCATCTGCTCACGCCTTTAATGTTGAATTATTGCTTTTATATGCATCATTTGAGTTAGATTTACCCAATGATGTTTTGAAGAAAGGATTTAATCATGCTAAACTATCAGCAGTTAAAACTTGTGTTTTCTTAGGTACAGTTTTAATGTTCTTTAATTGATATTTTTATTAGTCAATAGGCTTTCAATGAAAGCTTTAGTGCATGTTTTTCCCCGTTTATTTTCATTTGATATTCTACTGGTATAGGACTACAATGCATTCAAAATATTGTATTTTAGCAAAACGTCAACGAAAAGCATATTTTACATAAAGATAAATCTAATATTCACTAAACTCGTATGTATATTTTCAATAGGAAGTTAAAAAAAGTAATTTTGTTTTGAAAACGTTTGCTCAATTAGGTAAGTGCATAAAGTATAATATACCATTAAGAGTCCTTTTTTCTATCCGTTTTTAGTCTTGCAATATAAAACATGAAATTAGAATGGATAACTTCTTTGATGACAAAATTTCACTATGTTTTCCCTCAGGTTAATGTCGGATAATGTATAATCGTTTTCAGTGAAACTGAATATTATATCTTTTACATTTTGTAAAGCAAAGAAAAAGACAAACCATTTCATTTATTATATGCATTTTGAAGTCTGAATTTACAGCTGCTTTCATTGTAACAGTAGGAATTCTTTATTATATGTACAGTAGATTATTTTGTCTCACATATCAATTTAATGTCATAACAAAGCAACATAGAAAACCATTTGTCCTTTTTGATACTCTAAATATTTGACCACACATAACACAACCTGTCAGTTGCATGATTGGTTCGTAGCTAATAGTTAACTTTAACGCTATCATATTACTATAATCCTTTCTATCTTTAACGAGCAGCTTTAGGCGGAAGCAATATCAATTTACTTTAACATTTGAAACATCATTTATTATACGAGAACTGTGTAGTACAAAACGTAATTGACGGAGACTACTACGATATATCTAGTATATTTAAAAGCAAACATGTAATATATTATGTAATAGTAAGGCGACTCTGGCCTAAAAGGAAGCTTATTTCAAGGGTTAAGTTGTCACAAAAATATAACTAAGGTTGTCATATATGAAAATGTTCAGTACTATTTGAAGTTAATGATTATGTACATCAACATTTTCTGAATTTAGTGCAGGATGAGAAATTCAAGATGGCGTCCAAGATGGCCGGCGCTTAATAAGTGAGTGACCAATATCATAATATCAAATGTATTCTTAAAACAATGTTACATAACTGTAAATAACACATGCATTTATAAACACAGAACACTTGCCTTGAAAATCATAGTTATAGAAACTTTGAATTCGAAGGCAAAGATATAACAAAGGTCAAAGGTAAAAATTTGAAAGAAACAAGCGTTGTTAAGCAGTTTGTTTCATGTAGTTTCTAAATGTAAATTTCTCCAAAAACTACTGTTGGATGCCATGTCTCTTCTTTACTTACGTTTTGTGGAAGACAAAATTTAATGTAATTAATGAGGAGTTTCAAAATTGTTTGAAACAGTTGAAGCAATAAGGATCAGGAATTGTTTGTAAACATTTTCTATACAATTATTTTCATTGCATACCTGTTCTGTTGCCGTAGAATTCAGTGTTTGTTTATATGCAACAAATTAAGACCTTCATTAATTGTGGGGAAACAGAATCAAAATATTTAGATACTTACTAAGATGTTGAATACCGAAACAATTATCATCAGGATTATATATTTGCTATCAAACCTTGGGGAGGATTAAAGAACATTTTAAACTATATTTATAACATTAAAAGAAAAGGAATACACCTTCAAAATACGCTCAAATATTAACTAATTGAATACAGTACCCGTTACTTCAAGAAGGCTCCCTTAGCAGCAAATTCA